TAACCTTGGTATTAAACATAATTGAAAACAAGACAGCCAATTTCATAAACTTTTGTAGATGGCAAAGGGACATGGAACCAATACTATTACCCACAATGTATCATTATGACATGTGGGTTGTTGTATTATGACACCAGAGTTCGAATATTTGAATGGTGGGACCTTTTTCCAGGTCATTCCTTGTTGACCAAACCATCTGATATGGATGTTGTATTGTTCTAAGTCCGATTCGCATTATCTAAATTGATGAATGTGTGATTTTTTGCATAATACTATTAAAGATGATGCAATAACCCATACAATGACAGAAGTGCCTGCAAACTTAGAATAAATTTAAAAACAGTAAAAAGGTGTTGTCAAGTGTGACTGTGTCTGACTAAAATTGAATGAAAGTCTGAAATGCACGGACTTCCATCTCCCTTTAATCTTTATATAATCTTCAGACCAGCCTGATAAATACAAGTGTGTAGCACCCCCAATTCTAAGAGTATTACCCTTAAATTTTTAGTGTCAAAGCCAAGAAATGAAATAAATTTCTGTAGCATTAAAGTAATGGAATGACGAGAAGGCTTCACGCCAAATTAAGCAAAAAATGAACGTGGAATGTTGGGTCTAATTGACAAGTAGCTGTGAAGTATTTTAAATAATGAAGATGTTTCTTGGCTTAACAAAATGTGGAAGATATATATACATGTATAATTATGCTTTTGCTAAAGCTGCATTTTAAATCAATTAATTAATTAACTTAAATTTTTTTTTTTTTTTATTTATTATATTATTTCTATTAGTTAATTATTTATTTATTTATATATAATTGTCTATTTATTTATTATTATATTATAAACATAATTTTTTAAATTATGGGCTAAAGCTGCATTGTGAAATCTTCAGCTACATGCCACACTTCCTGATAAAACTTTACTGTTTAACGAAAATTGAATGACAAATGCCACAGCATTGAACAATACTGCGTTTGAAAGGTGGGCCTATTGAAATTGACAATAATCAGCTAAACAAATTTTAACTTTTTACAAATGTGCTCTGGGATGAATATGTTTTGGCATAACTATATGTTTGTTACTCATACGAAAATTATTTCCGCCATTTCACGTGTATCTTGTATATTATTTTTTGTATATATTGTACATATATTGTTGAACCTCATGTACCATTTATACGGTTTGAGTGAATAACTTGAACTTCCACTTGGCTTGTGGAATTTTTAACTAGATCAAGAAATGTTAAATTAGTGGTTGGGCCTTCAATTTTAACCTGAATTAATTGAAATTTCTATTTCCTGACAAGTTTGTTAGTGTTTAGGTACATGTAGTTTCTAACACACTAAGGAATCCTTGAAACTTATTTATTCGTTTATCTATTTTATGTTAAATACAATGTGTGGCCTACAATTTTAAACTGATTTAATTGGAATTTTTTATTTCCTGAATTTATTTTTGTTCCTGTCCTGGTTAAATGTATTATAACATATGATTATTGTTGTCTATCTGCAGTTGTTATTTACTATTTAGAAAAATATTTAAATGTATTGTGACATCTGAACAATGACAAAATAGAGAAGTTTTGTAAACAATGCCATACGATCCCTTTATCCCATTACAGCGCGTGCGTCAATCCCGTGCATCTAAATCCTCCCTATTTGTTTCCATTTGTATGTGTATCAATTATCGGTAATCTAAAACAAGGGATTGAAAACTGGATTAATTGAAATTTCTATTTCCTGACAAGTTTGTTAGTGTTTAGGTACATGTAGTTTCTAACACACTAAGGAATCCTTGAAACTTATTTATTCGTTTATCTATTTTATGTTATTATAATACGATGTGTGGCCTACAATTTTAAACTGATTTAATTGGAATTTTTTATTTCCTGACAATTTTGTTGAAATGTTTAGGTAGTTTCTAAGACTCTAAGGAATCCTTGGAATTTATTTATTTATTTTATTTTAAAGAAGTGGTTGGGCTTTCAATCTTAATCTGCATTAATTGGAATTCCTATTTCCTGACAAGTTTGTTGAAATGTTGTAGTTTCCCACACTATTTATTTATTATTTTTTATTATTATTAATTCATTAATTTTATTTTATTTATTTATTATTTTATCTATTTAGTTATTTATTTATTTTTGTTACCTACTGACTGACAATCCAATGGAGTTTATAGATGAAAATTTTTCCTAAAGTAAGACGTCTTTGAACACACAAGGAGCATGCACTTACAAACGCTGGACACTGAATATTTTGCTCAAGGAAATCCTTTCATTTTCCTCGTAACTTTTAAGGATCGTAAAATAACATTTCATGCATTATATTATGCAAATTCATCATCATAAAATACTTTACTTTTCACTATAAACATTTCGATTCCTAGTTTCCAAATGAAATTCTATTTACAACACAAACAGACATCACAATATACACAAACTTCGCAAAACACAATCTTACCAAATCTATGGTATATGAACGTGATCTGTAGATGGTTCCCTTCTCAATCAGTCATAGCTTACCCTCAACTCTCACACTCCCTGTCAGATCTGTGACTCTTTCTTCAAAGATATTTCTCAACCAGTGTACAACATGGAGGCACAAACAATGGTGGTGATGATCGAGGTGATGTCAATGCAAAAATATATAAATAAACATTGAATAAAAAGCATATATCAAGACAAGCACAAGTGTTACAACAAGACTGTCAAGAGATGAGCTGATTGATGCACAAATAATTCAATTAAATGGCAAGTAAATATTAACAATTAAATTAACAAAGTGATAAATGCCACTATGGTTGAATTCGCAGAAAATGTCTTTCTTCTAAGGTTCATTCACAGCCAAGTTCCTCGCTGCACTTAAAAATTAAAACAATTTTACCGACACATTTGTTTACACGGAATCCATGATGGATGGAATATTTTGCAGTCCGAACCCGATGATATGTGACACCGATCTATGTCGTGGCGGATCCAAGAGGCACGTGATCACTGCATGGTGGCTATTGGTAATGTCCAATGTTTGTGGGCACCATTTGTAAACGTTGGTTTTGATAACAACGAAAAGTTGGTTTCGATTTCACCAATGTATAATACACTGAGGTCATGTACACAAACAAGAGTTCATCTACTGCGGTGGTTGGTGCACTCGTGGTTAATATCGTCGTTGGGGATGATGATACTTTAGATATGCTATGATAATATTCACACATCGGGTAATATGGATGGGCCCTTAGTCCAGGATCTATTTGCCCTGATTATGTTCATATTTCCGACGTTGGATGGTCAAAGGAACACAAGATGAAGATGAATATTGTTGAGACTAAACTCGATGCTGAGCTTCAATGGATGACGGAAGATGGAAAGGAAGAGCAAATGCACATGCGTAATGGATGTGACTAAATGAAGTCAGTGCATTTGAGTGAGAGTTATCTCCCCTGAACTTATTATCTCTATTTGTCTCCATAACGGGACTTAACTCATATTGAGTTAAGTCGGATCATAAATTTCAGAGGTGAAATTAGGGGCCTAACATGTCTCTTTCCAGAAAGATAAACATGTACATGCAAATTTATTTATACATACTGTATAGGAGACAAACACATGTCTTCATTCATGTGCTTATGCATAGAGAAAGTAATGAAGAGCGTAAAGGCTCTAAAATTTACTTCTACTGAATGCATTTAATTTTAATTTGAGAAAGGATTTTCTTCAATTCTTTCTAACATTTATCTCAATGTAGAAGTTCAACTCAAACATCGAGAAGGCATTCTTAAATATTGTCTTCCCTTTTCAAGCATTTATGGGCAAGACTTGCACGATAAGTTACATATATAGCACTACAATTCTCAGAAACTCTTTTAATTTATACAATTCTCGGAAACTCTTTTAATTTATTTTCGAAACAATGATAAAGGAGGTTTTAAATTTTGATTTCCCTTGTGACAGAAACAAGTAATTAAATCATCTTCAGCTAAAATTCGCTTTCCATAATGTAATCTAAATTTATGACGTCGAAATTGACTAAAGTAATTACACATTTGTTTATTATCTGTAAATAGCGATTTTTAATTTTAAATCAAGCAAGTTTTCCAATTTCACATTTAAAAGGTAATTAGAGATGTCATACTTTATAGATTTGAACATGCCAGTATCTCAGAGGTTATTAATTAAAAGCATTTGAATTCCTAACCTTGACCTAAAATAACATTGCAATGAGGGAATGCAAACAAACCATAGCATATCCTGAGGTTGAACTTGAGCGCAAAATTTATGTACAAAAGAATTTAAATATCACCATGATGTTTAAAATTGATAAACGTTTTAATGTATATGGTTGACAGAATACGTATTAGGCAATCTGTTTATTTCATCCACCTCCTTATCTTTTATAGTCGTCTCTCAAGGCAATAAACTCGCTTGAGGTGAATTTTCAGCAATCTAAAAGTCAATTCTAATCAAGCACGTTTATCATTTTCTGAGACAACTATGAAGGGTAGGGTGTAGATAAAATAAATAGATTAGTGAAAAATGTGTCTAAAATTAGGGAGCGAACGGTAGTTGGTTGACCAATGCTGGAATGTGGAGAAATTCTCCCCAAAAGTGCGCAAGAATTCCTGCGCAGTAAATTGCACCTTTTTGCATTATGGGATCTGTAGCGTTATGGTAAAAGACAAATATATAAAACCATTACGCTACCGTTTTGCAGCTAATCATTGACCGGAAATATAGTAATTTCTGACTGGTTGACTTTCGATCTAACTGTCGTTTTGTTTTGTTCATGCTAATTATTCAAATAGTGTACTCATTCATGCGATCCAAAAGTAACTCTCATTGGCAGCAAGGTAATATATATCAAGATGGAACAGAAGTTGCACTCCAGTGGCCGTTATGATAGAATGAAGTTATTTACTGTAGATAAAGAATTGTTCTTTTGCAAAATTTACAGATCATGATGGACTGTTACATTATTGTGTTTTTGACGCTTCGTGTTATTTTGAATAGTTGATATTATTTATCGTTGGTGATATTGTGACCAATTAGTGTAATTTGTGCATTATAATTAAGACAATGCCAATCTGCAAAGAGTACCCTCTTCTGGCTTTCTACATTTTGTCCATATCTATGTTAGTGAATGCGATTGCTCAGTTATATACGACGGAAACAGAGTTCGATGACCTGAAATCAGAAACAAAATTGATATCCGAAGATGACAGTGAATCTCTCTCGGACTGTGCTTTTCAGTGTAAACACCGCTGTCATTGTTTCGGGTTTAACTCGTTTGTTAGAAAATGCCGTCTGCACAAATACTGCCTAATGGACGAAATGGGCTCAACAGAACCCGGATGGAAGTACTACTGCGCAGGTTGTACGTATAATTTGCCAGTCTTTACCATCTATTTTTGTTAACTTTTTGATTTATGTTTTGATATACTTAAATTTTCTAATGACTTAATTTCAATTGTTTTTTTGTTCTTCAAAAATGAAAACAATTAATAAATGAAAATAAAGGAAGGAACTGTTCTTTGCTTCGTGCTTGGGACTTTGTTGTGAAAGTTACTGTACTTTGAATGAGACCTAAAGAAAACTATGCCCCTTGTCAAGTCAGGCACTGACACGATAAAAATCACACCTTGCTCAATGGTCCTTCAGCATGAAGCCGTTCACCTATGAATGTTGACATCTCTATGTATGAATGAAAAAATCTCGAATAGGACGTGAAGCAACATACAATTAATTAAGGATGATAAAGGAAAACATAATATAAGCTAATGATTATTTAAATATATATATCAAATTATTATTGTTAAATATTTAAAAAATGTACATTTAAAGAATTAAAAAAAAAAAAAAACATCATTTGCGGGTCAATGATTGAAAATATACATCATTGTTTTGGTCCTCATACCAATAAGCAGTAAAGGATCTTAGTTCTGCTGTCTGATTCAAACCTGCGCCGTAATGATCAATTCATATCGTTTTAACTCTAGAACAAACTCCATTATCACTGTTCCATTTTGGCTACAAAAACAGAACATTTTTGCATTTAGCATTTAGTGATCCTGAATTTTTGTAATAATTTTGTTTTTAAAAAGTTACGATAAATGAAGAGAAGGGGAAGAAATTATAATTATTGATTTTTTGCATATTCAATTTGATGTGTTTTTCTCATCACCAACTTTGAAATAATATAGATGCTGAAGATGTGTTTAACAGGATCACCGATAGAATTTTTATTGAAAAATGTTTACTGATGAAGAGTTGTAAGTATGAGGAATATGAAAGGCATTGGCAAAATATTTGCAATGCATTGTAAGCAATAGAGTTATATATACATGTAAATATACACCATATAACTTATTTGAGTGATTTTTTTGTGTTATTATCTGTAATAAAAGAGTTGTTTTTCTTGCTGACCCCCCCCCCCCTTTGTCTTTTTTCTTAAAAACAACTTTCACATTTTATAACTATAATTATGTACTGTGTGTAGATTTGATGTAATTGCATGCCATAAGATGATGAAATTATCATACATGTACATGTGAAAGTGCTTTATCAATATAAAAAAATACAAATATAAATGTACAAACAAAACTCTAAAAATGTTGATACAAATTTAACATTGTAAGGCAGCGAGAAATTCAAAGATTGAGAATATTTTTGTATTCCTTAACATGTAAGTTGTTGACATATGGAGTGTTTTTTTTTCAAGTTAATTGTAAATTATTGGTTTGTAAGTCACATATATTCATGATATATGCAAATGATATAAATTCTGTGTGATTTACAAACCAGAAATTCAAACAACTTTAAAAAATATCAATAAATTTCAGATACTCTACCAAAGGATTGTCAGGAGAATTATAACAATGGCCATACTCAGTCTGGGATATACGGCATATCGCCGTACAGAAAACGATGCCACGTGGTCTATGTATTTTGTGATATGGTGACGAATGGCGGAGGGTGGACGGTAAGTAACAAGAACAGCCACTGTGTATAATATTGTCCATGTATTTTGTGATATGGTGATGAATGGCGGAGGGTGGACAGTACGTAACAAGAACAGCCACTGTGTATAATAATCAATGTATTTTATGATATGTTCACGTATGGCGGGGGTGGATAGTAAATTATAAGAATAGCCACTGTGTATAATCCCAATGACGGAAAGTGACAGTTATAATTGTGATTGTTGACCTATTTTATTCGATAAAGTGACAAATGGTACCGGGTAATGATTTGTAAATTAAAACGCTACCTTTCTATGTTGTGTATACTGTATATCTGAATATGATCACAGAAATAAAAAAAAACATAGCAGCTGTTCCATAGGGTTAACTTAGTATTTTGTTCGGATGAGACTTTTCTCAACCGATTACTGCTTATTCGTACTTTAAAGTCTAAACAATTATATCACTTAGAAGTTTCACACATTTCTCTAGTTTAAAAAAAACCACGTGTTTATTGCAAAAAACTTTTTTAAAAACCAGCAATTGTATCACTGTTATTTATCTATTTATTCCTTTCTATAAACTTAAGGCAATTCAAAGACGGAGCAGCGGATCTATAACCTTTGACAGGACATGGGTGGATTATAAGAGAGGTTTTGGGGAGGCAGAAACAGCATATTGGATCGGTTTGTAATTTCTTATTACTAATAATATGTTACTGAAAATTCATTTCTACACATAATTTATAAACAAAACATGCTTTAAAATTGAAGGGCTTTTTACATGTGAGAAGGGGGATACAAACAAGTAGGTTAAGTAATATTGACCGAGAGAGCAATCTCAATTCCATTAATATTTTTAGATCTATATTAATATTTCTTGTTACTTTCTTTAAACTACAATTTCTAATAAATGAATGAAGTAATGAAGGTATGATCATATATAAGCAATTTATCCCGCTTCAGACAAATTTGTAGATTGCTGATTGGATAAAGGCTGATCACATGACGCCCTGATATTTTCCGTATTACGTCTCCGTCGAGGCGTAATATGAAAATCGGGCACCCGATTTCGGTCGAAGCGTTGTTATTGTAAATAAAAATGGCGGCAAAGAAATGGTTTACGTAAGTAGTTAAATTAAATTTCTTGTTACCTTAACGATATTTTATGTTGATTGTTATTGGATTAAAACTAAATATTTTCATAATATGCACAAAACTATCTTTTATATTGAAAAAGGTCTTCAGCGGGATAAATTCGTAACACAGTCAGTTAGTGACCTAATACGGATTCATACAGGGTGTAAAATGGAAATCAAAATTGGGACTCTGCTTCGCCTCGCCCAATACGGATTTCTATTTCCCACCCTGTATGAATCCGTATTAGGTCTGAGAGTGTAACTAATATCATTGTATTAACATTTTAAGGGCACAAAATAATGCAAAAGATCTCCATTTGCCGGTTCGATAATTTTCAATATATAAAGGCACTATATTCTTTTATTATTTTTTTTTCTTTTCTTTTAGGAAATGACATCATACACCTTTTTACGAAGAATATTAACCCTTACCTGTATGTTTCGATCACACTTAACAATGGTACGACTTATTATCAGATGTATGATCAGTTCTCTGTATCAGATGAGGCAGACAAGTACAGACTTACACTGGCAGGTCCTTCCCAGGGAACGTTAGGTTGGTATCAAATTTTAAATTTTATTTTATTTTCAAAATATCTATAATTTAGTTAATATTTTCTTCACAATCAATATAAGAGTATTCATTCAAACGATCAACAAAACCGCTTGGAGATACATGATATATAATTAATAATCGGTCTTTTTAGGCTATGAAATGTGTAGCCATGTTTCGTCATACAACCACGCAAGACAATCGAATATACGTATTGTGAAAAATATTTTTATATAGATCATTCTGACATTTAACCTTGTTTTGCGTTGAATTCTTAGATATACGAGGGTTGTCCAAAAAGTTCGTGGACAATGGCGTTTTTTGTCAAAATAAATGGTTCTATATGCATCTTTTGTATATCAAAATATTTCTTCTGAAAATCCAAGTCAGAATGGTTTAATTCGTCTTGATGACACTTAATATTTTTTGTAAAAATCGAGGTCTTTAAAGATCGCTGATTGTTTGCACGGACCAGTCTGACGTTAAGCTAATTTCATTATAACGTCAAACATTTGGATTTTGACTTAACACATGTTCATGGACACACACTTCATTTCTTTTTTAAAGTGCAACGCTCTTCCAAGTGCTAGCAATAATCTTTAAGAATAGATTATAATTTATTTAATTTTTAAAATTCAAAGCAATGCACATAAGTTTGCGAGCGTCATCTAAATAAACAGTTTGTATACACAAACTACACAGCCCAGTCCGACGCTGCGCTAGATTTATAACAACGTCATGAATAGAAATCTCTATTTTCAGTTAATTACATGTGTTTTTAAATTCTTGCAGTGTCTTCAAATTTGTACACACCATTGAAAAATCGTATATACCAATCTGAAATTGATCAGATACTCTAAATATATTTCAATAATTTTGTGTTGTTTTAACAAATATTTTGTCTCTTAAGTTGTTTCAACCGTATAAAAACTAATTTTTTGATCGGACGCTGCCCCATGCAGACGGCCGATGTCGCTTTTTTGTCGAGTTTTGACACATATTTGTCAGACTTTTTGTTTAGTATTTGTACTGTCTATATAGTAACTGATACTTAAGATATCATAAAATGATTATAGCCTTTTTATTTTGTGTAACATAAAATTTTTATTAATTTTTTACTTGTCTTATATAGAAAATAACCATTTTAATCCGAACACTTTGTTTCAGAGTTGATGTCATTTTAACCTTGGTCCGTGCACACTATCTGCGACCTTTAAAGACCCCGATTTTTACAAAAAATATTACGTTCCATCAATGAAAATTAAATCATTCTGATTTATTTTTTCTTAAGAAATATTTCAATATACAATAGATACATATAAAATCATTTATTTTCACAAAAACGTCACTGTCCACGAACTTTTTGGACAACCCTCGTAGTTATAACTTTAAACGATCAATCTGACTGCTTTGTTTTAAATCTCCCTTTGATTTTCAAGATTAATCTAAAAACTATGTTATTTCCACATACGCTCTCAATTTTAACATCTTGGTAAAGATCCTTTGGACACATTTTTCAGCTCAATTTATAGTTTACGATGCATGCTAAAATGTGAGTTTCTTTGGGAAGACAAAAGGAAGAGATAATTTAGGTCTTTAGATAGGCGTTCATTAATCTTTAAAGGAATTTTCAATTATGAGAAGATATGATTAATCGCTTCTACATTCTGTATTTATTATGATGTAAAATATTTTACATTATTTATGATATTTCTATGTACAGTGTATAATGTTTATACGCATGGGGAATTATATAGTGATAACTGTCAGTAATTTTTAAGTTTCTTATTATTGATTGAAACAGTCTCGTTTAAAGTCTTCATATCGCTTGTCAGCAAACCCAATTCATCATTCAGGATGAGATTTACTCACATAACAAAAAATTCCACCAATAGAACTGTATGCACTTACTCAGCTATGTACGGAAGGTCAGAGTTCAAATTCCTTGTACATCGTCTTGGAAGTTTAATTGTGACGTCATTGAAATTTAACAAGCCACAAAAATTAATTAGCGACATGATCATGCGTAAATAACAGCTTGAATTTATTCATTCTTATTGCAATCTTTGATAGCGATATAGTTGAGTAATAGAAGAAAGCCTTTCGTCAAATATGACGTCATCAGCCTTGACATGACGCAGCACAAGTGATCCAGACGACTAGATTCACTGGTTTAATAATTACAAGAATGCTTAAATAAATATGATAGCATCGCTAATTTTTAAACCTAATCATTAAAACTAAAAGAAAATAATTTATTAAATACAATGTGTATAGAATATGAATTTATCTAGTAGCATTGAAGCTGCACAGGGATAAGGAATGTAAAGAATATCGCTAAAACGATGAGCGTATTCGAGATTTACATCAAAAGTGCAAGGGAATATACTATTTTGTTGTTTGAGCTGAAATTTGGAATATTTATTGCTTATCATTGTATATTTTGAAAAGTGCTTCGAGCTGATCCTGGTCTGCATTACATTATTTTATTTATAACAGAATTTAAGCGAAGTGGAAATTTTTAGCTATTATAAGCATTTTCGGCAAAATTTTAAGTACTTCGCAAACAGCACTGACTAGCTCCCAGTACCTTTTGGGTAGAGGATATAGACCTCTTTTAATGTGTATCAATTTTTTTTTCTTGAAAAACAAGCGTATGCCCTTGCACTATCCCCATTTCCTACATTCAGCTTAACAATTCTATTTTTATACAAGTCACGTGACTAACAGCCGATACGTGCGATAAAACTGGTAATATCTACGGCCCAGTCCTATCCAGTATTGATAGCTATATTTACATTTTCTATAAATATTCAGTTGTTTGTTACATTTTTTAAAAAAAAGTAATACATATTAAAACGGTGCAAAGGTCGCATTTTCCATATAGGTCCTTAACATAGCTGAATATGTTTCATGTGTTGAATTAACTAGGTAAATGACTTACTTTTCATATTAGTTGCCCCTAAGAATTTCTCGGAAAATATTCCAATTTTTTTCATATTATGACCAATATTTTCTTTACTCACAAAATATATTGAGCAACAAAACTCCTTATAAAACGAAATAGAATATGAATGGAGCAGCTGGCGTGGCTTCATAAACATTAACAGTTAGAGTTTGAGACATACACTAATGCTTTATTACAGTCCATATTTCCTCTGTAATATTTTTTTCAGTGATACGACCTCTAAATTATTAATAGCCTAGACTTACATTTGTTGCCCTTATTCTACTGATATTAACATTATATGATGTCAATGATCAAATTATTGAGACATATTGTATTGTTGTCCTTCATACTTTTGAAATATTTTTATATTTCGCAGCATTCAATTATTCTAAATAATTAATGAGCTTTAACGCAAATAATATTTGCAAAATGATGTTTACATGAAATATTTTAAACCTTAAATTTTTGACTGATATTGCAAGAAGTAAGATTTTGTGACAAAAGATAAGAAATTAAATAAACTTTAGACCGAATTTCCTCTGCAGTACAAATATCGACTTGTTCCTGCACGTTTTTTTTCAAATTATAAAATATTAAATTTTCAATTAATATTTAGTGATATCTTGGTTATTTTTTCCAATTAGAGCATTTTTTTATGTAAGAAATTGAACTTTATAAAATTTTGCCTCCGAAACGTCAAAAAACTGAGAAAATATCATCCTTAAGTCAAACGATGACTGAATTTTTAATACTGATTGTAAGTCCAGTATGTATACACGGATGCCCACTCCTTCCTGACACTTGATTCCACCTCTGCTGTTTTGGAAGTTTGTGTTTGCTGTGCTCTTAAATTGTATTAATGTGAATGGAATTTCGAGTTTGAATACTGTTTGTTATTGTCACATATTTCAGTAAGTTAATTTCAAATTAATTTTAGGTGACAGAATGCTATCTGAAATACCGGATGCTAATTTATACCGGATGTCCTTCAGTACCCCGGACCAGGATAACGACGGGACAACTGCGTACGACTGTGCCGGTACCTACCAAACAGGGTGGTGGTTTAATTATTGTCACCACGCCTTGCTCAATGGACGGTGGTACCCTCAATACTGGTATCAACCATGGTATCCCGTCATTCCTGATGGAACGGAAGTGAAGGAGACACTAATGATGATAAAACCGCACTAACATTTTATTTGAATCTTCATATTGAAACATGTACTGGTATCTATTCCTGAATGAAGTACTTTCTGAAGGAGCTAACATGACAGCAACAATTAAAACATGTTTTTCAATCTTAACTTATAAGAATCTCCAAACAGGCTGAATCATGTTGTCAATTTGTTGTATGCTGTACACAGATTTGTATTGTATTTTTGTGCATTTGTTTTTATGATATTTAAAGTCCCTCTCGAGAATTTTCAACTGATATGGAGACGCCAAGATTGCCGGAGGAGAGCTGAAATTTTGTGAAATGTTGTTCTATGCTCGGCACTCAGGGCCATCGAGCAGGGATCTTTTTCGTGCCAGAATCTTCTGCGACACGGGATCTCGGATTTTACGGTCTTATCTGAAGGACCAGTCTCCACATCCTACAGTAGGATTCAAACCCGCATCGTAAGGTGGTTTTCGATAATCGATCAATACTCATTATTTTACCATTCCATTTGAATACAAAAACAGGTCTACTGACAACTGTTGGCAATAAGTCTCCATGGAGGACCTTGTCTCCGAAAACTGAATGGATATTATCAATGAGAAACTAAAGCATCCTTTCTACATCCCCGCATAGCGCAGTTGTCGCTAAGTAAGAAGTAGATCATTCCGTCGCCGTTTCGAATCCCAAGACCGGTCCTTTGGATGAGACCCTATATACCGAGGTCCCATGTCGCAGTAGGTGCTGGCACGAAAAAAGATCCATCACTGCTCAATAGTCCTAATTGCCGAGTATAAGACAAAATTTGTAGCTTTCGAATGCAAATGGAGGCATCTCCATATGAGTGAAAAATTCTCTAGAAGGACGTCTAACAATATACAATTGATTAATCTACATCAGCCTCAGAGTAAGTTCTTACCACTGATATTTTGGAGGTGTGTGATTGCTCTGCTCCAATTTTGTATTGTTCCATGGACTTTTGATCATGAATACTGTTTGTTATTTCCATATGTTTCATTAAAATGTTTGTAACATAAAAAAATTGCAGGTGACTGATGTCAAGGTTTACAATTAAATCTTAAGACGCGCTTCATTTCATATATAAAAGTTTGTATAGAGACATACCTTAATTTAGGGTAGGAAATGTTTGTAATTGTTTTAAAATCGTACAATGATGGAATTGATTTTGATACAATTATTTCACATTTTGAAGTTTCTAAAAGTTCCTTGGAGTTTTCAAGTAACACTTTTTGATAAACACCATACTTTTCATATGTCGTTGCACATTACTCCGGTACGTTGTTGTTGATATTTTCGTAGCTATAGGAAATAAACAGGCTAGCCTTCTTGTTTCTTGTTTGTTATACACTGAATGCAGAGTTTCAGAATTCCATTTGAGAAATAACTTACATTATTTTTTTTAAATTTGTTTTTATATTTCACAGAGATATTTAGTTTTGGTAAATATATCACTCCTTCCCCCATATTCCCCAAAATTAAATAAGAACCAATTTTATGGAGGCTGTCATTATCTCGACATCGACAGCAAAAGGAAGGGTGAGGGATAAATATTGTGAAAAAAACAAGATATTTTTTTAATGGTGAGGATATTATTTTTCGTGTATTTATATACTTAATGAACAATAATATGGGAATATCCTGAAGTTTTCTTCACAATTCACATTCACATGAGGAAGAATTTTTTTTTCAGTAAATGTTTCAATTTGTGTTTGTAGAGAAAAAAAATCCAATCTTAGCGTGTAAATGTCTCATTTTTGATGATATATTTGAATGTATATAAAATATTATTTGGAGATATCAATTTCACAGTTAAGTACACGTGTTACATAGAATCACGAACTTTTTATCTTTATATATAGCTGTTTGTTCTCTTATGTTCCAATATCGGAGTTTTTTGAAAAAAAGGTAATTAAAATATTAATATTGTACAATATGTACGTGCGTATTGCAATGTATATAATATTTTCTTCACCGAAACACTTTATTTTTATAGAATACTATTATAAACAGGGACATTTTTGTCACATTTTCTTTCACCTCTTTCGCCCTTCCCTAATATGGACGAATTTAAATCTAAGCATTTAAAGCATGCGGTTTAACCTCTTGAACAAAACTATGAAAGGGCGAACATAAAAGGAAATATTCCTTTGTAAGCGTGAAAAGGCGAAAATAATAAGGGCCGAAATTAATCCTGTATACAGTAATTAGGCTAAATATTCATACAAAATACTATATTTTTTAAATATCTTTAGAGCTTGAAAAATGCTGTATCTCAATGTTGCTGCTTTTGTTATTTTGTTTTCATCGTTCAGACTAGTGGAGACTAGTGGAGTCATCAGGTGAGTTCTTAATTCTTATATTTTAACTTGTAATTTTCACCGTTAACACTTGTCATTTCAACTTTAATAAGAACTAACCCGATAACTCATTCTTTCATTCAAGACGAGTCGTTTGCTCTCTGCGATGGTCAAAAGGGTTTTATCCGGTGTACCAAAGGAACCCAGATTCAGATTTTATCTGCAAACTACGGACGAACAGATGAACACGTTTGTCCTACTGGTAAAATCAAAACTCGTACCTGTCATTCGAAGTGGTCCGGAATCAAGACAAAATGGAACTGCAATGGGTATACGACGTGCCATCTTCACGCCGCTGTTCAACACTTTGGAGATCCGTGCCCTAATTACTCTAAATATCTGGAAGTCACATACCGATGTGTTAAGGATCCAAACGCTATTTCGCACGGTACATTTTATTTTTGTAATTTAGATCTGAATCCCCGAAAATACCTTTCTTATACGGGTCCAATAAAAAACTAATATTCTAAAATTTATGTTCCCTTCCTATAGATTTTTCTTCAAAGTAGAATTTTTCGTATATATTATGAGAGGTTTACAATGTATTAGTGTGTGGTAATGAGTTCGTCTAGAAAAGTATGTTACATGTCTTTTAAAGATCACCGTTCACGGTAGTTTTGTCGGTAAAGCGCTCGCTCCGTGATTGAGAGGTCGTGAGTTCGAATCTCGGCCGCAACTGAGTCGATAAAAAAAATGGATAGCAACTCTTCCTTCGCCATACTCGGCACCTTGAAGTGGAAGTTGCCGGTCCTTCGGATGAGACCTTAAAACCGAGGCCCCGTGTTATAAAGATCCCTCACTGCTCAATGGCCCTCAGTGCCGAGTAAAGGTCAATATTTGAAACCCTTCACCAGCATACGGTGACGTCTCCAAATGAGGGAAACATTCTCGAGAGGAACATTAAACATTATACAATTAATCTTTTAAAGCTCAACAGTTAATTAACAAATACATGTACGTGTACAAGAGGAATTCATTGAGGCGCATTCAATTTTAATCATTTGATTCCTTAAAAAGGTTGAAGAATATTTTTTATAAATATTTCCTTTTATATTTTAGGTAGAATTATTGCATTTAATGCATACGTTACCAAAACACTACACCTTAAAAAGGATACTCCGGTTAACGTTGTCTACGATGGCGTATATATTAACCATGGGAACGGTTACAACAAGCACACTGGTGTCTTCAAAGCACCATCTGACGGACTATATCTATTTTCTTGGTCAAGTTTTGTGGCCCCAGGAAAGACTTTTGTCGGGGAACTCCTTCTCAATGGACAAAGAAAAGGACGTGGAAACTGCAACAATGAAGGAAGCACAGTATATACAAATTGTTCAAATACATTTCCACTTGTTTTGAGAGCTGGGGATAAGGTTTATATCCGTACAACATATGCAAACTATCTGCACGCAACATGGTCCAGTTTTTCAGGATTGAAAGTATAAAGACAATATACAGGTTTACATCCGTGTATGATTAAATAAAGCAGATGTAAATATTTAACTTTTTCTATTTTATTTCACAAAAGTAGGAAAAAAAAGAATGTTGTCTCTATTGATCTTCTCAGCAAATACAATTTTATCATTGAGTCAATGAGTGAATTGATGACAGATTTTTCCCTAATTTCCCGATTTTGACAAGGAGCATATTACGAGTGTGACCGGTCGGCAGGGGATGCTCACTCCTCCATGGTACCTGATCCTACCTCTGATGATTTTGAGGTCTGTGTTTGCCCTGCTCCTGTTTTGTATTGTTTAGTGGACCTTTGATCTTGAATACTGTTCGTTAGTAAGAATGGAAATTACAATTATTAGTTGACAATACGTCGTCGATATATCTAAATGTCGATTTGAAGGCCACAGCGAGTGTTTGTTTCTTTTTACGCATAGGATTTTTCACAAATTCTGCTTCATATAAATAATCTTTACTACTCAATGGTTCTGAATGCTGAATAAAGATCTTGATTTATAGCTTTTCACCTGTATATGATGACGTCCCGTGTTTTCGGAAGGGACACTGAACATGCATTGTTTAATAAAACAAACTTTGTATCCTTTTGTCAAAAACAATGACATATGATTTTTGCGTATGACCTTGACAAAAGCATTGCGAAACACTAAATATGCTAAAAGTGCTTTATCGGTTTTTTTTATCTAATAACATATAATTTACATATACTGCATATACGTTTATATAAATTATGGTCCTTCGTTATATTCAGAAATGTTGCATTTTATGGAGAAAAAGAAAGATATTCCAGCTCTATTCAAACAATACAAATACAGGACCAGAGCAAACACGAACCTTTAAAGCATCAGAGGTTGGATCAGGTGCTACATGGGGGAGAGGATCCCCTGTCGACCGTTCACAACCGAGGTGTGCTCATTGTCATAATCGAGAAATAACGGAAAATCCAATCAACAATTCAATGTGTAATTGGCATGAAAAACGACAGTCAGCATTTATCTTGATGATTAATGTATTTGCTGACAAGGTCACTGCACATATCCACCATAGAACATAAAAATGAAAACTTAACATGCGACTGTTAATATTTTTGTTTCGTCAACTCTTAAAAAAGAATAATTGTTTTCCTTATACAAAGGATACAAAAATTTTGTTATTAGTTGCAATAATGCTCAGTAATTCTTATTTAAAATCAATAAAATTATCTAATTCTTCTACTTAAAATAAATATTATAAATTTGCTTTGCTACATCTATTCGCAAAAATAACAAATATACCAGTAGTTTTCTTTTAATGTGTTTTATTAAGTCTTAACTAACAATAAAATCTCAAAACTTTATAAATATTGGACAGTTAACACAATTGCTCTTAGAGGTCTTTGTGATATTAGCTACATGTCCTTAGTTGGCAGTGGACAAATATCTCGTAAATATGAAAAACTTTTATTACATTCAAATTATAGCTAACATGTCTGCACACTGCTCTTATTTCTATCAAGGATTAGGAATATACTTCTGCTTAACCAATTCACAAGGCATGAAAACCTTTGATTGATCATGTTCCTTGTCTTGGATAATACTATTAATCGAATAAAAATAAATTGTGGGTTGGGCTAGTTAAGCATGGATGTTTAATGTAATGTTATATTGAACCGGATAAAGTCATGGCAGTTTTATCCGTGAGGATTTTATTTCCATGACAGTACCCATCCGGAGTAGTGAGGTTCTAGGATATTGGACCTCGATTTATACGATTTATACAGCAAACAAAGTGCTAAATAAAACATGTATTTTTAAGGAGTGTTTATGTGTCAGAAGACATGAGAACAGTATTTAATTTCTCAAACAATCACAGTGTAATATAATTTTATTCTAAGTAATGTTAAGACTAAAATACATTAACCATTTTCGATGTCACAATAACATTTCGTTGTTATTTTTCTATTGGATCCAGTAAATGTGCATGCATGCGATACGATTCGCCCTAAGTGTAGATTTAGTGTGTAAATGACGGCGTAACAGTTAGTATGACAAGGATATGGAGATAACAAACAGTATTCAATATCAAAGTCCATAAAACAATACAAAATATGAACAGAGCAAACACGTATCCCCGAAACATCAGAGGTGGGATCAGGTGCCATGGAGGAGTAAGCACTCCCTGCTGACCGGTTACACCCGCAGTGTGCTACTTGTCATGACCAGGAAATAACGGGAAAATCCGATGTCAATTCAGTGTATAAATAATGGACTAACATTTAGTATATAAAATTCAGACAGCATTTGACTCAATGATAAATTGTTTTTGCTGACAAGGTCATTGTATCGACCATAGAACTTACGAAATGATGACTTTTAATGAGACTGCTGATACTATTGTTTCATCAACTTGCTTGTCAATAATTTAGAAATTGTTCGAAAGTAGAGCATGCTCTTGCGTATCAAATCAACTGAGATACATATACTCCGTATGCATTTGATGAAGGTATATTGTTGCATAAGTTAGGAAAGTTGACGATAGAAACGTTCAAGTCATCACTTTTATCACAGAGATTAGTTGTTAGATAACCAATAACGTCTTTTCCAAGTAAAATATCCAAGTATGAAACAGATGTGTCAGACTTTGTGGTATATTTGATTTCAAGCTCACCAGGATATTTCGTATGGACGTAGGAATTGAAAATATCACTGTTAATTGACAATACGTCGTCGATATATTTACATGTCGAGTTGATGGCCACAACAAGTGTTTTCTTCTTTTCATGCATAAGATTTTGCACAAATTCTGCTTTATATGAATATAAAAATAGGTTTGCTTATAACGGAGCGCAATTGGTAGCCGTGGAAATTTTAAAGATTGTTGGAATATCTGATCTCTAGAAACGACATTGATTTTCTCAATCAGAAACTCAAGCATCTTTTTGATGCAACTTTAGAGTATTTGTGTGTGGGAAATCAAAATGTCTTTTAACAGAATAACTTTCAAATGACCAATGACCAGGTAAGTAAATTTACCAGTTCCACTTTTATTGATAAAGCAGCCGTCAATGATATCAAATAGCCTGAACTTTAATGTGTAGTGGGGAAAATTTGTGTATAAAGCTGAAAAGTCGTAAGATTTTAGGCTGTTGATTTTGGTAAAATATTGTGATTTCAAATTGTCTAAAAGTTCTTTGGATTTTTGAGTATCCACATCTGAAAAACTCCACTTCTTAAATATATTGTAGCACAGTACTATTGAAGTTTTTCCTTCACTTCTGTCAATATCCTAGTGAGGAGTAAGGAAAGAGGCTTGGTTGAACATATACTGGACCCGGAAATGTATCTTTGTTAGGATTTTTAAGAAGTTTCGGAATCCAATTGCTATATGAGTAAGGAAAATGTATGATAGAAATTTTCAAAGTCCTCCCTTCATCAAAAGGTTTTGTTGTTTCAGGGGATTTCTACTTTTGGAAGTGCATACATTACCAGGTAAACAAACCTGTAGATGTTTTTTATTTCATGTACTTGAGCTTTAATTTCATGTTTGTAAAGTTTTGAAAATCGTAAAATGATACTATTGATTCTGATACAATTACTGAGTTTTTTTTAGTTTTAAGTTTCATTATACCAGGAGAGAAATTATACAAATAATTATTTTTTCGTGTAATTAAATACTTAATTCAAACTCAAAATAACATTAATGTTGGAGCATCCTGAAGTTTTCTTTACAATTTACATCAGATCGGTATGGATTTTTCAAGAAAACGTTGCAACAGTTGCATTCAGCATGGGTTTTTATATTTGAATGTATTCATATTTTTATTCGAGATTTCAAATTCATAGTCTGATTACATATGTTACAGGTTCATAGAACCAAAGATATTATTTTTTAGTGTAATTAAATACTTAATTCAAACTCAAAATAACATTAATGTGGAAACATCCTGAAGTTTTCTTTACAAATTAAATTACATCAGATCGGTATTGATTTTCCAAGAAAACGTCGCAACAGTTGCATTTGGCATGGGTTGTTATATTTGAATGTATTCATAATTTTATTTCGAGATTTAAAATTCATAGTTTAATTACATATGTGACAGGTACATAGAACCACCCACATTTTAACTATATATATATGAATGTTTTCTAATTTCCGTATATTGGTGAGCGGTTTCTTCAAGGTAATTTAATATATATTATCTAAATTTATTATATAATGATATAATATATTGTACAATATACAGGCATATTGCAATCTAAATAGTGTTTTTGTTTTAGCTAGCATACTACTGTATACGTGGAAAATTCTGCCATGTTGTATTTTTGCCCTTTCGCCCTACCTTTATTTAGGCGAATTTAAAACAAAGCAAATTCAAAGCATGCAGTATAATTTCTTAGGCAAAAGTATAAGAGAGCGAATTTAAAACGGTAAAAATACGTTTGTAAGCGTGAAAAGGCGAAAATAACACGTAAAGAAAATAACACTGTACAAACAAATTATGCTTAATATTCATACTAAGTTACATATATTTAACTGTGTATGATGTCATAGTCAAGTTTTCCCGTACAAATTCTTTAGAACTAGGCGAATTTAAAACAAAGCAAAAGATGCTGTGTTTCAAAGCTGCTGTTTTTGTTATTTTCTTATCATTGTTACCACTTGTGGCGCCGTCAGGTAAATTTTAAATCTTAAATTTGTCATTTAAATTGTTACTTTTCCGGTTAGCACTTGTTCATTTTGTTGTTTTAACTTGCAATTTCAATTATTTTTAATTAGTAAATAACCCTCAATGCCGTTTTTACATAAAAGACAATAATTTGTTTTCTGTGATGTTTTGATGTTTGAATTCAATCAATGTATTTTTAGTTGCTGGGACTAGTTATATGGATAATGCAAGCGAAAAATAATATGTTGAATTTCATGTTATTTTCATGAACTGTACCATTTTTAATTAAATATTTCGTGAGCATATAGCAAAAATGCCAAGTTTAATTGAATTACATAATTGTGGTTCAAATGATCACTGGAAATCTTTAGAACCAATTTTGA